ATGTTCCATTTTTGTTGCATATATCTCATACTTTATTGTTAGAAAAATTCATGTCTTATTACTAATTAAACCATAAAGTGACTGCTTCTGAGAAGTATACCAGGGGTATACTTTCCTCCTTAACAACAACAACAACAAAAATACAGATACTTGGTGGAAAGTTATTTTGAGTGGGCAGAATTCATAAATGCAAATGACTCTAAGCCAGAAAGGTAACATTAGTTGCGTGATCTGGGCTACATATAAGACATTAGGGAAGGGTGGGGGACTTTGGAAAGGAGAACATCATCTTGTCCATAAACTCATACAGATTTAAAAAAAAACCACTATGCTGTCCAAACAAATGCTTCTTGTTCCTAATTCCCAAATTCTAGTTATCCAAGCTAACTGTATTTAGTAAGTTAAGTTTCTATCATAAATGGTAAAACCTTAGAGAAATAAGTAATTGTGGAGAACTTCTAGTATACACTTGTATAGCTGCCCAAGTTTTCATAGCTGTTATCATCCAGTCTGATTAGCTTTCTAATAAAGAAATCAGTTTCTAAACTAGTGCAGGGCTTTAATGTCTTCTGGTCGCAAAGTAGAAAGGGACAGAACCAAGGCTTGAAATAAAAATTTCATGTACTTTCTCCCTTCCGGTTGGTAGGGTAGTCCCTTAATTGCTCCCCTGTTACTGTGTCTTGCCCCAACCTAGAAACAGCCTGTAGCCTGTGGCAGACTCTATAGTAAACTTACTTGGTATGGCAAATCAAGAGCTAGGAATCTGAAGACCTGGGTTGTAGCCTGAGATTGTAGTTGACTAATCAAGTGGCTAGATGTCAGAGGCAAACCTGTAACAAAACAAAACAAAACAAAACAAAACAAAACAAAACAAAACAAAACAAAACAACAACAACAACAAAATGGAAGTTTGGCTGCCTGATGTAACAAAAGCCAAATTCCTGAGGCAGGTGCTGTTGCAAAAGGAAAGATGTTTTATTCAGGAGCCACAGGACCTGGGAGAATGGTGGACGCTCCTCTCAAAGACCCAATCTATTTTTCTTCTGAAGACTAAGGATCTTATAGGTATAGGGAGGGAAGGAATTTTTTTTTTCTATCCAATTATCTTGCTAGATTTTAGTACCCTTGGGCGCTATCCATTCATGTGTCTAGTTTTGGGCACATTCAGTATAACAATCTTCCCCTCTCTCATTTTGGCCAGTGAGGGAGACTCCCTGGCATTCCAACTGACTGTCTAAGGCCGTGGTCTGCAAACTGCAGCTCGAGAGCCACATGCGGCCCTTTGGCCCCTTGAGTGTGGCTCTTCCACAAAATACCACAGCCTGGGCGAGTCTATTTTGAAGAAGTGGCATTAGAAGAAGTTTAAGTTTAAAAAATTTGGCTCTCAAAAAGAAATTTCAATCGTTGTACTGTTGATATTTGGCTCTGTTGACTAATGGGTTTGCTGACCACTGGTCTAAGGTAACAAACCCAGGTCTTCAGGTTCTAAGCCCAATACTCTTATACGAAAGTCAAGATTGTTTTCTTTTAAGCATGATATCATGATTTCAATCCATTCCCCACAGGTCCTTTTAATGTTTGAATATAGGGTGTTTTAAGAGGACTGACAAAAGGACTCTTTTCCCTACCACCTCTTTTTTTTATAGGTTGCATACCAGCTGACATGGGTCTCACTGGGCTTTGCTGTGTTTGTAGTGGCATGGGGCTGTGAATGCTGTGGTTGCTTCAATCATTAATGCATTTCTACATGCCAGCATTGTAATAGACTGCCCTTCATTACAAAGCTTGGAAAAAGGCATTCTTTTGTTTTAGCATGTGTTATTTGTATTCTGTGGGTAAGCATTGTGTGTTATCCCTACAAAAAATATAGTGCATGTTCTTTGAAGGGAGTTGTGTGTAGCCTTTGCTCTTCTAATAAATCGTTTTTGCAAGAACCAGCTGGTATTTGAAGAGATGTTCCAGGAAGAAAAAGAAATGACAACTATAGAACATGGGCAAAGGTCTGGCAATGCACAAGCCCGATCTGGGGAGGAGGGAGGGCCTGTATGGAGGGAGCGCAGGGGGAATTAAAGCAGAGCTAGGAAACCTGTCCTTTGTCTGTCTGGAAAAGGCTCTTGTGAGAAGTTAGGAATACAATTTAGGGGGAAAAATACTAAGTAAATAAAATTTCAGCCAATACTTTTAATGAACTCACCCTTCTTTGGAATGTTTTCATTCTCATGGGGGAAAACAGAGATTGAGTCATTTATACAGCGAGTGAGAACTTTACGAAAAAGGAAACCTCAGGAGATGTTTGCCCTTTGGTGCTTTCTTCAGACCCAATTTATAAGCTCTGCAACATTGTCAGGAAAATGACCATTTCTGAGGAACTCGTTTCTTTTGCTTTCTTCATTACATGGGGCTATAAATTTCCACGATTCTGAGGAGGATTCCCTGACATGGTTATCTGATGCAAAAGTCTGTTCCTCCCACTTACAACAATAACTTTTCATGGCAGCTCTCCCTCCCCCTTCCTCACCGTAACTCCTTACATTTCACACGTAGCACTCTGACATTATAAGCCTTTTATTTTGATTCTGCAAACTGATATCCTTGGAGCTAGGGCCATGTAACCTCTGGGTTGCTTGGGTTCCTAAATACAGGCTGTGATTTGGGTCCTGGACAGCAGAAGGAGATGTTGAGCCAGAAGATACGGTTTTTGTTTGTTTTTGTTTTTTTTAACTTAGTATGTAAATAATTAATGTTACATTTTCAAATAGAAAGTTGTGAACTTCAGTGATTGTTTTTGTACAATGAACACACTCTTCTTCCAGGGGAGTCACTGCTGAAACCCGTTTTATTAAACTTCTATGTAGGATGAACCTTTGGGGAACCAGTTCATTTTGGTCTAAGCCAAAACATCAATTTTCTGGCGAATCTCTCACACCCCCATTTTCTCATGGGCACTCATGCTATATAATAAAAAGCTAATGTGCAGATGGTCATCACGCCCTCATGCCGTCATGCATAATGGCTCAGACACTCAACACTGGGGAGAGAGGAATGGGGACGCGCCAGGCACAAATGAGCTTGAGAGAGCGAAATGGGGACCAGCCAGGCTATGGCCCAGAAGAGGGACAATCTGCCTGTCCTGTGGTCCTGGGCTCTAGAGCCTGGGGATGCAGCCTGGGAGAAGGACTAGTTGCATGCTCCACAGTCCTAGGCGCCAGGGCCTGGGGATGCAGTCTGGGAAAGGGATAAGCTGCCTGCCCCGAGGTCCTGGGTGCCAGTGCCTGCAGCCAGTGCCTGCAACCTTGCCTGCAGCTGTTGACAGCCTGGATGAAGCCAGCCCAGTCCTTGGTGCCTGTGGCCAGCCTGAGGGAGGAAAGTTCATGTTTTGGGTGCCTGCAACCATCTGGAGGGGGGAATCCTGGGTCCTGGGTTGGGGCAAGGCAGAGGTGGTTAAGAGTGATCAGGCCATCAGGGGAGCAGTTAGGGGCAATCAGGCCAGTAAGGGAGTAATTAGGGGCAATCAGGCAGCAGGCAGAGGTGGTTAGGGGTGATCAGGCAAACAGGCAGAGGGGTAAGAGGTGATCAGGCAAGCAGGCAGGGGAGCAGTTAGGAGCTAGTGGTTCCAGATTGCGAGAGGCAGTCAGACATCCCTTGAGGGGTCCCAGATTGGAGAGGGTCCCAGAGAGGAGGTTGGGCTAAGGAACCCACCCCCAACACCTGTGCACAAATTTCAGGCATCTAGTTTTGTATATGCAAGCTGAGGCCTGAAGTGTTGGTGGCTGGCTTTGACAATCATCTTCAGGGAGTGTCTGCTGAGTAGCTCCCTGTTGTGATGGAAAGTTCAGGAGTCATCAGTTTGCTCTGTGTTATTTCAAAGCTTGTCATTCATGGGTCTTCAGAGAAGAAATTTCCTTTTGTCTAAAATCATCATCTTTCCATTTTCAAGAGAAAAGGAAAAGGCCACTTCTAAGGCTATTGAGTCTCCATACAGTCTTCCTCTTAAACAGCAGAGATGGATGAGATGTGGGAAGGATTATTTTACTGCTGATTAGAGCTAGGGCATTGAAGAGAGTTTCCATTTGGAATTCCCTCTACACTTTGGTGTCTATAGTTTCTTTCTCAGAAGATTTAGTCCATTGTTGGAGCTGATGAGTACAATTTTCACTTGTAATAATCCATTATAGTATAATGACTATGCCAATTCAATGAATGCTGTCATTTGTATTATTGTCAAATATATTGTCCTTCTTAGAAGCCTGCTGTTTTGAGATGGATCATATTACATTGTTCTACAAATTGATGAATTTATTTACCACATAGATACCCTGGAATCCCTAAAAGATATTATGAATTTTCTTTAGTTTTTCCTTTTATTATTTAACAATACCTCATACCAGATCAGTGCTTCTTAAGTCATTGAAATGCACACAATCTTGAGCCCCTAGTTCAAGACCAGATCAAGATGGTGATTTAGCTTTTAAGTAATTAAGAACATTCAAGATGATTCTTTTTTATTTCATTACTAGAGGTTCATTGCACAAAGATTTGTGCAATATGCCTTCCTTCCCCTGGCTGCTGGCACCAGTTTTCCTCTGGCACCCAGGACCCAGGCCTTGGCTTGGGTCACAGCAGAGAAGCCAAACCTCTTCAGTGTTTAGTCTTCAGTCTTTGCTTTGTGCCTGTGTATGCAAATTAACACATCTTTGTTGGGTTAATTTGCATACTCACTCCTGATTGGCTGGTGGGCATCGTGGAGGTGCAGTCAATTTGTATATTTTTCTTTTATTAGTGTAGATGGTTTCCTTGCTACTTCCTGGAATTTGTAAATTTGCTGTGATATCCCTATTACAAAGAATTATCAAACTTGCTCTAACTGAATCTGGTTTCACAGTCTATCTAAATTATGGCAAAATGAATTTACCTCTAGGCCAATCTCTTGTTAGAGTTAAAAAATGTGCTCTGTATACTTTGTTATAATTTTTTCTCTCCCCACCCTCTTTGCCTTTAAGGAAAGCAAAGGAAAATTTATTTGGACAAAACAGAAGTTCTTCCAATGGCCATATAGTGCCTGAAAAAAAGCAGCAGCTGGAGTTGGACTCAATTGTAGAAGAAACCGTAACAGGAGATTACGCCTTAGTCATAAATGGCCACAGTTTGGTGAGTTCACTTAAGGCTTTTGTTCTTTCTTTCTCTTCACCCTAATAATCATCTCTTTTGTGTTGTCATAATTTTTTGTGTGTGTTTTCTAAACAAATGACACTAATGGAAACAAGGCTTACACTTGATTTCCTGTTTGTGAGGTAAAAGGAAACTTTTAATATACATTTTTTGCATTATTGCTTGAATTACCACAATGAAGGGAGGATCCAAAGAAATACCAAATTCACAGTATATTAATCTTGTCTAAGTGACTGTAGAGCATTTAGCAGTATTGTTTAAGTGCTTTCTGAGGGAGAATGTCACAGTTCACTGTTATTTAATTAAAGTAATGCAACTGGATGAATGTATTGCAATTATTGCTCTTGCTAATGTTTGTGATTTGCAGAGTACAACCCGACCTTCATATAATCACCACTTCAAATTATTGTCATTAAGATACCTCTGGTGGTTTTTCTAAATAGCAGTATTTTACAGCAATGCCAAACAACTTACTTTGATTAGGAAATCTGGTTCTTGTAATAGAATAAACTGCATTGTACTTTTAATGTAATTCAGGTTCCAAATCTTGAACAAATATCAAAACGCTCTTCTGAGTTTCTAATTTAGAAAACAAATCTGTGATTGCACTCCAGCAAAGTTATCATTTCTATGCAAAATGAACCAATCTCACATTTTTCTTCCGCTTTGATGATTCCTTTTCTTTTTCGAACTTTGGAAAATAAGTGTATCTTCTTGTAGACATTTTCTTAGAGGACAAATAAAAGTTGGATCTGCATTTCCTCCCTGTGATCAGCTGTCTGTTAGCTCTGAGGGCTCATAGCATTATCCAGCTGGATTCCAGACATAATGATGTGTTGCCTTCTACACCATGGAAAGTTACAGAGCTCAGCTGCAGGCCAAGCTCAGTTGAAAGTTTGTCCAGATGACACGAACTTCTCCCTTGCACAAATGAATAGCAACTGATAATTATAAACCTGTCACCTTGGAGTTGGTAGCCTCCAAGATGAATGGACCACAATATGGAAAGGGTGCCTAATGAGCTGCATTTTGGCTTTCCCTCAGGCTCAAAGAAGCCACTGTGTGGGGGTTAGAGTACTCAGGTGATACCATATACTATTCTGTCTTTATTTCTAAATAAGCGAGCATAAAAAGCTAAGATAGATCCTCTTTAAGAACCCCCTCAGCTTCAATGTCTGAAGCTTGTGAAACCATGAAATGTCATTTTTCACTTAAGAACTGACCCTGTATCTAATAGTATAGTCAAAAGCTTATTAAAACAAACACATTATAATTCCAATTTGCTGAAATCTTGATGCTTTGCAGAATGTAACTGGATTTCTCTTTCTTAGAGTCAGGGAATCTAGGTTTTCACTTGTTGATAATAAAGAAAAAAATATATATAGAGAGAGCTGAAACCAGTTTGGCTCAGTGGATAGAGCATTGGCCTGAGAACTGAAGGGTTCCAGGTTTGATTCTGGTTAAGGGCATGTACCTTGGTTGTGGCACATTCCCAGTAGGGTGTGTGCAGGAGGCAGCTGATTGATGCTTCTCTCTCATAGGTGTTTCTGACTCTCTATCCCTCTCCCTTCCTCTTTGTAAAAAATCAATAAAATATATTTAAAGATATATATATATATATATATATATATATATATATATATATATATAGAGAGAGAGAGAGAGAGAGAGAGAGAGAGAGAGGGGGGGGGGGGAGAGAGAGAAAGGGACCATTCTGGGCAAGACAGCCAGTTACATACTTTCTTTTTCAGAAGGGGCATTTGTATTTGAGAGTGCTGACAATTTCCCGTAGGAGTTATAGACCTTGACATGAGAATTCTTTTTTTTCAGCACGTTTTTGTTTTTGTTTTGTTTTTATAGCCATTTGCCCTTTTTTCTAGACATGCCACTTGCATTTACTAAGCATGTCTAGGTCACAGTCCTAGAGCCCAAAGATAATGATATAAATAGAACATGGACCTTGCTTTAAGGATTGCCATCTGGTATGGAACAATTAATCTCACATACTATAAAGAGGAACAAACAGTTCTTTGAGAACTGAAAAAGACACATTCAGTTCTTTGTGGGAAAACCAGGGAAGATTCCCTGGAGGAAGTGATATTTTCAGGTAGAGGAGACAACAGTGCAAAGGTAAGAAAGAACCTGTAAAATTATGGAAATAAGCAATTTGGAATAATGGGAGTAAAGAGAAAACTTAAAGGCAGTGGTAGAAGACAGAACTCAAAAGGAATATTGGGGCCAATTGTGAGGGGTGGTGAATATCTTGTTGAAGATTCATTCAAAGATGACTTAAAATTTAGGTGGATTACTGTTTCTGTTTATTGTGTTTATTACAGCAAGATGTGTACAGCAAGATGTTTTCTAGAAAAAAGATCACACAATTAATTGAAAAGGATTAAGCTCTCTTTTTCAGTTATTTCTTGGAATATCTAAAGGCTGTTATGTATAATATTAGGAGAAGAGCAAGGGTGCAAATGGTTGAGGAACTCTATCTGAGACACCACCTGTTTTTTGCACACCACCCTTTTGTGCAGGCCTCTCTTGATTTCAATCACTATGTTCTTCAGTCTGATCTCCAGACTGTCTGCTCTTCATTAATCCATGCATTAACAACCACCACAACAAACACTAAATATACCAAACAGCAATGCAAATGAAACAAAAATTCCATCATGAGAACAAAGCACCATTTTGTAATTATTATTATTATTATTTTTTAAATCCTCACCTGAGAATATTTTTTTCATAATTTAAAAAATATATATATTTATTGATATTTTATAGAGAGGAGGAAGGGAGAGAGATAGAGAGCTAGAAACATTGATGAGAGAGAAACATCGACCAGTTGCCTCTTACACACCCCCTATTGGGGATATGCCCACAACCAATGTATATGCCCCTGACCGGAATCGAACCTGGGACCTTTCAGTCCGCAGACCAAAGCTCTACCACTGAGCCAAACCGGTTTTGGCTTTTCCATTTTTTTTAAAAAGAGAGAGTGGAAGGGGAGAGAGAGAAATAGTGATGTGACACATTGATTGGCCGCCTCCTGCCCACACCCTGGGCCAGGGATCCAACCTGCAACCTAGGTACATGCCCTTGACCAGGAATCAAACCCATGACCCTTTGGTCTATGGGCTAATGTTTTACCTATTGGGCCAGGGTAGAAATCACCATTTTGTAGTTCATTCTAAATTTGGTGATACGGTGACTAGGTTCTGTCTTTGGCTTTTCCTTATTTTGGAGATTCTGGAACTTCTCTGGCATTTAACTGTGTCTCCCATTCAACACGATAATATGTCAAAGAGGACATGCAAGAGTACTGTGTCTTTTATTTTCATTCTAAAATTTCTTGGCCTTTAGTAGAAGTTTAACACTCATTTCTTTAGTTAGCTGGTGTTACTTAACATAAATTTAACTGTTTAGAAAATAAATCAGTTGAGAAATAAAAAAATATGCTTCCCAAGGGATGCCTTTGATTTACAACTTCTTGTTCTCCTCTGTATTTTTTTTTTTTTAAACACAGGCTCATGCCCTAGAAAGTGATGTCAAGAATGATCTCCTAGAACTTGCCTGCCTGTGTAAGACTGTGGTGTGCTGCCGAGTCACACCACTCCAGAAAGCCCAGGTAGTAGAGCTGGTGAAGAAACACAGAAATGCTGTCACTTTGGCCATAGGCGATGGAGCTAATGACGTCAGCATGATCAAATGTAAGGAAACATTTGCTCAGTGGGGCATGCTGCATACCTGAAGTCCTCAGCTTCAGCATTGAGCAATAAGCGATGGAGATTCCATTACAACAGCATTTTTCTCAGCGGTTCTAAAATGAATACTCTGGCTCCAACAAGTCCACCATTATTTGCATTCATAAAAACCCCCACCTCCTTCTCTGTAATTGATTAATTTGTGTATTTTTAGGCTAGAAAAGGACATTGGCACAGGAGGAATGAACACTGGTCCCACAGTCCCAACACTTGGGTTTCGTCCCAGCTTTGCCACTTACACATTGTAAAACCTTGTGCAAGTTATTGAACTTTTCTGTGCCAATGTCCTCTTTTGTAAAACTAGGATAAATATCCATCATGAGTGGTTCAGGAGATCGTGTATGTGAAAATTATTAATGCCATAGCTCTAAGATTCTTGTAAATAAATCATACCATAAAAGAGCAATGACAAGTTCCCCAAAGAGATTGTGTCTTTGTTTGGGGAGTGAAAGTGTTCTTTTTCTCCTCTGCAGGCGCTCACATTGGCATCGGAATCAGTGGCCAGGAGGGACTGCAGGCAGTGTTAGCCAGTGACTATTCATTTGCACAGTTTCGATACCTCCAAAGGCTTCTCCTCGTTCATGGAAGGTGGTCCTATTTCCGGATGTGCAAATTCTTATGCTACTTCTTCTATAAGAATTTTGCATTCACACTTGTGCATTTCTGGTTTGGTTTCTTCTGTGGCTTCTCAGCCCAGGTTGGTATTAAAAAAAAAAAAAAGACTTTTTTTTTTTTTCCTTTATAAGATCCCTGGATTATAATTTACTATGCTTCATGGCTTTTTACTAATAAATAGCGACACTGTGGCGATTATGTAATTGATTTGAACGTTAAACCCAAAAAGAATATATATTTAGCTGGGATTTTTATGTATTTTTCTCTTATTTACATAGCAACCCATGAGTACTCATTTCTTCAAGTTTTTGCCTGATGACAGGTAATCTTGATAGAAAATTTTTAAATCAGAAGTCTGAGAAACAATGACAAGAAATGTTGAGGTATATTTTGGGAAAATGGTCCCTCACCCAACACCTTGAATGTAAATATTTTAAATCCGGGAGAAGTAATTGATGCCCTGACATCAAGGATCCTTTGACAGCAGTTCATTGGCTAAAAAATTGCTGTATAGAGTATGTTGGTTATAACAAAGAAAAATTAGCAAATTTATAAATTGGGATTCTATTTTTATATCCACTCATCTTTATTTTAAAGGATATTGCTTAACTCCATATCTTGTATATTAGTAGTTTTATTCTGAGAGTCAATTGTGAAAAGGGAGACCTATAGTATTTAAATATACTTATGAATTAAAAACTACATTAATGTTTTAAACAACAACAAAAGAACAAGATTGTACTTGAAAATGAACTGGTAGTCATAACTCTCAGAAATTTCTTCGAGTATTTTTCCTTCCTCTTGGTTTAATCACTGGTTTCAATGATATGCATGAAGCTGCTATTTTCAATCATTTTATTTTAGAAAAATTGAGTATGAATTAAATATTGGCATTTTATGTTATGTTAAATGGGCCAAGGGAGATTAGCAAATCCTTTTTGCAATAAAAATAGATGTCATACATCTTTTTCTTTTTCTGAGAAGTTGAAATTTCTTAAAGTGAGGCACACCTGTACCCATTCCTAATTTTCTCTTTTAAGGATAACATTCTCAGAACTAAAAGAAGTTTCTGTTGATTATTTTTGCTAATCTATAGGCAGTTGAAATAAAGCAAAGTCTTGATTTTATCTCTACTTTGAGAAGGCATTGGGGTAGAGATATTTACCTGCTTACAATTCCACTTTTATCCAACAAAGACAGGTGTGGAGGTATGAACTATGCCTTCCTAGGTGGGTGACTAAAAAGCAAGGCTGTTTGCTAAGCAGTGTTTCTGAGAGATCCAGTTTTCATACTGCAAAGGTCTGACGCTTTAGAAAAATTACAAAATTATGAAAGGATGTCCTAATCCTCACATAGACCTCTGTGGACACAGACAAGTTATTAATGATGTGTATGTACACACACACCAAGCTTGGATAGGCAGGTTTACTGCCAAAGTTGTGTTCATTAAAACTTTGAAGTTGAAATTTATGTCCTATGATTTGTACCCTCTACATTTAGGTGATTTTCTGCTCTGCTTTTAAGATCTGATATAATTGGTCAGAGTCAGATGTTAAGCAATTATTCTTTTGAAGTCTCTCACCAGTGTTCACATTTAAAAAGAGAACAGTAAGGAGAACAATAAGACATTTTTAAACCAAAGACATGGTTTAACCCATTTGTCTCCAAAGACATGGTTAAACCCAGTTGTAAGACAGACCACCTATCTGCAATGAAGTTTCTCAAGTGTTTGAATTGTATAATAGATGGGCAGAGCCCCTAGCCAGGATCCCACTGTTGCAAGTAAGAATGAGATGCACCAAGAATGAGATCTGAGTATTGGTTCCTGTAAGCCCCACCCCCTTTTCCATCTTTGTTTGAGCCTCTGCAGATTTCCCCAGTGATTCCCATGAGGCAAGAATGGAATAGACCTCCCAGGAAGTGTCCTATAGTACTGGGAGAGCTAGGTGTCTGCCTGGCCCTCTCTTCTCTCCAGTGGAGAAACAATAGGCCCCGAGGGACCCTCTTGGTACAGTGCTGTGCCACCTGGGTGAGGGGCGATGCAGTCAGAATGCAGCCCCTTCTCTTTCCTTTGGATGTGGTCCTTCTCTGTCTCTGTGGTCCCCAGTGGTGCTTTAGCCTCATCCTCCTGCTCTGGGTCTCCTTGTGAGGGGAACTGATATTGGGAATGATCTCTGTTGCCATCTTAATGGCATTATTCCTGAAGCCATTTTTCCCCAGAGAGAATTTATATGGCTTTTGCCAGTTTTCTGGGGATATAGCCTGCTTGAGATCTCTTTCTCTCTTGAAGTATTTTTTTTTTAAAATCTGGATTTCAAATCCAGTGAATATAATTTGTTGTTGAAATTTTTAGGAGAATTTTTTTTTCTTTGTCTAACCATTTAGCTAGTACCAAGGTTGATGCCAAGTACATTTTTCTTTAGTCCCTCTCTACAAGAAGATTTGTTTCTCCTTTATTCTCACACTAAGGGGTTATTCCTTTGCTGCTTTCACTTTATTAGATTCCTCATATGGTCTAATCTTGGCATCGGTAATGGTCTTTCTTACAATATATAGTGTCTTAGAGCCGAAATTTGGTATTATTACTGAGTCACTTGGCACAGAGCCCTATTTTTCTTCCCCCAAGTAACATGCATAATGTCCTGTAGAACAGGACCCACTTTGGAAAATTCTGAAATACATGTTCCTATGGCCACAGTTTTAAAACCTGACATAGCCCTGCTGTTTAGTTTCAATTTTGGAAGCAGTAGGTGTATGAATGACAAAATGATGCCAAGAATACTTATCTCCAAAGAAATAAGCTATTTCTTTTCCCCTCTTTCAGAAATTTCCATTTTCTTTGTTTTTTTTTTTTAAGAAAAGGATTTTAAATATAATAATATTACTAAAACTGTACCAACATAGTATTATATCACAAAAGTTGTAGGAAATATTAAAAATCTCCAAATAACAGAATTACTTCTATTATATTCTAAAATATCTTTTTCTGGCTCTATATTTTTTCATCAGTTTATGTTGTTCATTATGTATATTCCACAAATGAATGAGATCATGTGACATTTATCTTTCTCCAACTGGCTTATTTTGATTAGCATAATGCTTTCCAGGTCCATTTATGCTGTTGCAAATAGTAAGAGTTCCTTCTTTTTTTTACAGCAGCATTAGTAGTGCATTGTGAAGATGTATCACTTATCTGCTGATGGTCACTTAGGCTGTTTTCGAGTCTTATCTATTGTAAATTGTGCTGCCATCAAACATAATGGTATATTTATGATTGGTGTTTCTGATTTCTTGGGATATATACCTAGAAATGGGATTACTGGGTCAAATGGGAGTTCCACTTTTTATTTTTTGAGGAAACTCCGTATTGTTCTCCACAGTGGCTGCACCAGTCTGCATTCCCACCAGCAATGCATGAGGGTTACTTTCCCTCCACATCCTCACCAGCACTTGTATTTGTTGATTTGTTGATAGCATTCTGACAGGTGTGAGATGATACCTCATTGTTGTTTTGATTTGCATCTCTTGGATGAATGACTAAGCATGTTTTCATATGTCTTTAGGCCTCCTTTATGTCCTATTTTGAAAAGTGTCTATTTAGATCCTTTTTCAAAAATTGGCTTGTTTATCTTCCTTTTGTTAAGTTGTATGAGTTCCCTATAAATTTTGGAGATTAAACCCTTATCAAAGATAACAATGGCAAATATGTTCTCCCATGCAGTGGGCTTTCTTTTTGTTTTGTTGATGATTTCATTTGGTATGCAGAATTTATTTTGATGTAGTCCCATTTGTTTATTTCCCCTTAGTTTCCAGTACTCTGGGAGCTGTATCAGTAAAGATATTGCTATGACATGTGTCTGATATTTTGCTGCCTATGGATTCTTCTAAGATTTGTATGGTTTCCCATCTCACATTTAAGTCCTTTAGCCATTTTGAGTTTGTTTATGTGTATGGTATAAGTTGGTGGTCTAGTTTCATATTTTTGCATGTTTCCATCCAATTCTCCCATTTATTGAAGAGACTATCTTGACTCCATTGTATGTCCTTGCCTCATTTGTCAAATGTATATATTTTACAGTGTAAAATTTTTATATTTAGAATTAGGCAACTGGACCCAGTTTAGATGATTCCAATTTTGTTGGCAACATCCAAAGCATCATAGTCAGGAGCCAGTTGAACATATGCCTTCTCCTCACCATTAGGCCTGATCAGGGTGTTGACCTTGGCCACATCAATGTCATAGAGCTTCTTCACAGCCTGTTTGATCTGGTGCTTGTTGGCCTTGACATCCACAACGAACACAAGTGTATTATTGTCTTCTATCTTCTTCATGGCTGATTCGGTAGTCAAGGGGAACTTGATGATGGCAGAGTGGTCAAGCTTGTTTCTTCCGAGGATAGTTAGGCTGCCTCAGGAGCCTTAGTGTCTTTGGTTGTCAGAAGATGAGTGACATGCGGATCTTTTTTTTTTTTTTTTTGTGGCTGTGGATGACTTTCAACACTGCTTTCTTTGCCTTCAAAGCCTTTGCTTTGGCTTCGGCTTTGGGAGGGGCAGGGGCTTCCTTCTTCGCTTTCGGCGCCATCTTCATTAAAAAAAAAAAAAAAAAAAGCCCTTTGTCAAATATTAATTGAGCATAATGGTTGGGTCAATTTTTGGTTCTCTGTTTTGTTCTATTGGTCTATATGTCCTTGTGCCAATACCAGGCAGTTTTGAGAACAGTGGCTTTGTAGAATAGCTTGATATATGGCATTATGATCCCTTCAACTTTGTTCTTTCTCAGGATTGCTGCAACTATTTGGGGTCTTTTTCTATTCCATATGAATTTTTTGAGAGTTTGTTCTAGGTCTGTAAAATATGCAATTGTTATCTTAATGGGGATTGCATTGAATCTATAGTTTGCTTTGGGTAATATGGACATTTTAATGATCTTGATTCTACCAACCTATGAACACGGTATATTCTTCTTTTTTTTTTTTTTTTTTTTTTTTTTGTCATTCTCTATCTCTTTTTTTCAACATTCAAGTACAGGTCTTTTACCTCCTTAGTTAAGTTTATACCTAGGTATCTTAATTTTTTTTGGTG